GACCTGGGGCTCTGGATCTGTGAACTGATTCGGGTTTGGAAACAGGGTGAGAAGCTGTGCTCTCCACTTTGATGTCGGCTGCCAGGCACCTGGCGAAGGCCAGGCCGGTCAGGAGGCAGAGGGCGAGGGCTCCGTGGGAGGAACAGACGAGGCAGGGCACACAGGCTTGGGGGGGGGAGGGGCAGTTGGAATAATTTCAGGGGCTCCGGGCCATAGGTGCTGCCCTTGGTTGTCTGGAGCCCGGCCGTGGGTGGTTAAGTCAGGGGGCGTGGCCTGGAGTGCGGCAGGTGGACGGAGGAGATGTTTGGGGGTGTGGGCTCTGGACTGGCTGGTTTGCATGTGGAAAGCCCACTCATGGGGATGCTGTTTTGTTTTTTCATTTGTTGGGTGTTTTTTAAAAAAATATTTTTTACTGATTTCAGAGAGGAAGGGAGAGAGAGAAACATCAATGATGAGAGAGAATCATGGATCGGCTGCCTCCTGCACCCCCCACATGGGGATGGAGTCCACATCCTGGACATATGCCTGACCAGGAAGCAAACCAGAACCTCTTGGTTCCTAGGTCGACGCTGTTTACATCTCTCGCCAGCCGCTGGCTCACACTGGCAGGGACAGTCCCTGCTGGATCAGCAGGGTCACAGATGTGAAAACATCAGAATGACAAAGACATGGTGAACACAGGAATATGAAGTGGATTCCGTACCCTGAGTAGGTCAGGTCTGTGAATAGAGACAGGTGGGGAGAGGAAGGAGTGGAGTGAATGCTTCCCACCTGAGCTTTGTTTTTCTCACTGGCTGAATGGGGCACACCGGCCAGCTCTCTCATCTCTGACTTTATAACTGAGACAAGAGCACAGGGCATCCTATATGATTTTTGCAGTCTTAGAAGCCCACCTACGGTTTGGCCTTATGACTCAAAAGGCCCCACCCTGCAGCCTGCCTCCTGGGGACAGGTGCTGGGGCTCCACTCCTGTAGGGACAGGGCCTCCCCAGGTAGAGCCCTGATGCTTTATAGGGGTGCCCTTGAGCTCTATTGAGTCTTAGCTTTTTTAGCAATCAATCAATCAATCAATCAATCAATCAATCAACATATCAATAAAATAGGCAGGGGGTGGGGATAGTGGCCACCGGGAAGGTTCAATGTAGAAATGAAATAAATGAAGTGGGATAAATGGTGTGCACACAATAGCTGGGCAATAAGTTGACGCTACCTGAATTCTCGGTCCAGACAGTGGGCGATGGCTCACGAGCATTGTTACAGCGGAAAAATGAGCAAAAACATTCCATTGGAAGAGAGAGGAAGGACACCAAGCCAGCTGCGGAAAGGGATGTTACATTAACGTAGGTGTTAATTCCCATTTCAAACTGTGGCTGAAAAGGTGATGCAGCTGAAATGGAGACCTTGCCAAACTGGTCACCAGATGAGCCCCAAACCTGCTGGTAACTCAGAACAAGTGTCTTAGCCTCACTGGACCTTGGCGCTCCTCCTTATAGGATGGGTTCCCTTTTAGTTTGTTAATTCGTTGACTTTGATAAAACCCAAGCTAGTCCTAACCGGTTTGGCTCAGTGGATAAGAGTGTCCACCTGCGGACTGAAAGGAGCCAGGTTTGATTCTGTTCGAGGGCAAGTACCTTGATTGCGGGCACATCCCCAGTGGGGAGTGTTCAGGAGGCAGCTGAATAATGTTTCTCTCTCATTGATGTTTCTAACTCTCTCTCCTTCTCCCTTCCTCTGTAAAAACATCAATAAAATGTATATATATATATATATATATATATATATATATATATATATATATATACACACACAAGCCAGAGCTGATTTCATGTTGCTGTTTACTTTCTGGCTGATTGCAGCCTCCATTTGGGGGCTTGCAGGCAGGTCAGTGTGGCTAGGACAGGGGGAGCAGGGGACGGGGCGGGGACGGGGGTGTCGGAGAAGGGTGTGGGGTAGGGAGTCCCATAAGGCCTGGAGGACATTCTGAGGCCTTTGGTGTTTCCCTGAAGCTGCACGGAGGGCCCACAGGTGTATGGAGGCCAAGGAGAGTCAACACCCCACGCTGGGCCTTTGAGCAGATGATCCTGTTTGCAGAATAGCCTTTCAGGAGCTCCCTCATCCAGTCCCAGCCAAGCCTGCTCCTAAAGCTAATCAGCTCATTCCTGTGGGATGTTTGTGGCCACCCTGTTCCAGTCTCATCTTTTCCACCCTCAGGGCACTATTGCCACAGGCTTACCTGTGGCCTGTATCCTTACCTGTGGCCTTTGTTACACTGAGAGGCTGACACTGAATTCCAGCAAGCTCCTGGCAGATGCTCAAGAAATCACGGGGAAGGCAGCCAGTCTTTGCGGAGCGCCTCCCTCCCCCGGCTTCACAGGAAGTACCCCGTTGACTGTACAGAGTGATTCCTCAACAAGCGCCTGTCAGGTGGGCGAGACATTGAATCGACGAGCAGTGCTGCCTCCCAGCTTCTCCTCTCTACCACCCAGGGAGTCCGTGGTAGCGGCGCCTTGACGAAATAGGCCACTTGCAATCGTTCAGTTTGGCTCTGCATGCGAGGCTCCTCACCTTCAGGTCCAGTCCGGGCAGCTGGGAAAACGAACAGCTGTTTTCATGGCTTGTCGGGCAGCCAGATCTGACCCGAGCCCATCTGTTGGTGCGTTCAGATCGCAGCTAGAATGACGGCAGCTGTTGCCCTTAGGTATTTCGCTTACATCAATGCTTCTAGGTTTGCTGCAGGAAATCTTCATGTGTGCACATTGGAATTCCTTCTCCGCGCCCTGCTGGGTTGATGTGTACTCTACTGTCTATGCCCCACTTGCGTAATCTTGTTACAGGTATTAAAGGATCAGGAACACATGGGGGTCATAATGAGATATCCCCACACTCCCACCAGGTTGGCTAAAATGGGAATTAGGGACCACATAAAGTGTTGGCAAGGATGCGGAGCAGACAGATCACTCCTTCGTTGCTGGTGGGAATGTGAAATGGTGCGGCCTCTGTGGCGTGTCCAACCATAGAGGAAGGAACGGATTTCCAGGGAGAGATTCCAGGGGAGTATGGGGTGGCATACAAGAAGAATGAAGAAGGCAAAGGTCAAAGGTAAGTTTCTGGTTCAAGATCAGCCGTGTGTGCTGTGAGACGTTACCCCAGTGCAGGAATAGCCCCCAATACTATCAGGCAAGGAGTTCTGGAGGTTACTGAGCAGCTCACAGACCAAACTGAGATGGTCTAGACACAAGGTGTAAGCCCATTTAAAATGTAGCAAGAAGCAAGGGGAAAGAGAAGGGTAGTCGCCCACGAATTAGGTGCCAGGGGGTGGCAGATGCATACCTGCTTCTCCTGGGCACTATTCACCGGTCTTCTCTCCTTGCCACATCCGGCGGGAGATGGTTTCAAAAGCCATAAACTTCACACGGATTTCATGTGTGTTGTCTCCAGGCTTTTTGCAATTTCACCTCCTCTCATTCCCACCAGCACCCACAATAAACATAACCAAACAGAGAGAGGACCCGAGTGTTCCATGTTGCCCTTTTCCCCAGATCATGTGACATCATTCATCCATTCATCCATCCATCCATCCATCCATGTTGCCCTTTTCCCCAGATCATGTGACATCATTCATCCATCCATCCATTCCATGATGACTCACTGGGCACCTATAGTGCGTGCTAGCCACTGGGGATGCTATAGTGAGTGAAATGAACATGGCTCCTTGCTGGAATTGTCATTTCCTTGGGAAGACAGAAAATAAGCAGGGAAAACAAACACATGTAATTCCACATTCTAAAGTGGTTGGAAGCCTGGCTGGCGTGGCTCAGTGGTTGAGCCTCCATCTGTGAACCAGGAGATCACGGTTTGATTCTCCAGTCAGGGCACATGACCAGGTTGCAGGCTCTATCCCCTGTGGTGGTGGTGGTGAGGGGGGATGCAGGAGGCAGCCAATCAATGGTTCTCTCTCATCATTGATGTTTCTTTTCCCCTCTCTCTTTCTCTCTCTCTCCCCTTTACTCTCTGAAATCAATAAAAATATTTTAAAAAATCAAAGAATATTGTCGCCGAAACCGGTTTGGCTCAGTGGATAGAGCGTCAGCCTGTGGACTGAAAGGTCCCAGGTTTGATTCTGGTCAAGGGCATGTACATTGGTTGTGGGCACATCCCCGTGGGGGGTGGTGTGTAGGAGGCAGCTGATCCATGTTTCTCTCTCATCGATATTTCTAACTCTCTGTCCCTTTCCCTTCCTTTCTGTAAAAAATCGATAAAATATATATATCGATGTATATATTAAAAAAGAACAGTGTCTATATATTCATTCCTCCATTCAGTAGACATTTGCTGAGCACCTGCTAAGTACCAAACCTCTGGGGATAAAGCAAGGAACAGAACAAAAATTCCTGTCTCCCCAGAAGTTATATTCTACAGACAGGAAATAAACAAGTGAAGCATGATATTATGTCAGATGATAATAAAAGACATAATTATAAATTAAGCAGGATTGTGTGTGTGTGTGTGTGTGTGTGTGGCGGGGGGTGGGTGGTTACAATTTGAAATAAGGTGGCCAGGGTGGTCTCACTCAGAGGTGACCTTAGAGCAGAGGCTTGCAGTAGGGAGGGTTGGCTCAGCTGGCATCCGAGGGAAGAATGCTGCACAGAGAGCAAGTGCCAAAGCCCCGAGGCCTCCTGCACAGACTTGGGAGCAGCAAGAGAGGTCGAAGGGCAGACATGTCCGTGCTGATGTCCTAGTGCGGCACCAGGATGGAAGCTGGCCCCGGGAGGCCTGGTTTCCAGCCGGACCAGGTTGCACACGCCACGTTCTCCTTTCCGTGGGCTTTGCAGAGTCAGGTCCTCGCTCGAGTCTGTGAGTCAACCTGGCCTGGGCGCCTGGGACCTGAGGAGGTGGGGCAGGCAGGGTGTGATATAAGTGTTGGCGATCTGTCAGCTCCACACTGTGTCCTCAGCGGCGTGTGCTGAGCGCGGCCGCTGGTGGCCTCCTCGGTGGTAGAAATGATGATGGCGGTCCTCCTGGCCCTCCTGGGAGCCCCCTGCCTGCTCTTCCTGGGCGTTGGGCTGTGGGTGACCTGCAGAACCTTCTTCACCGTGGACATCCCCGTGGGCATCAGCCACCCCAAGAAGCTGTGGCTCTTGAACTTCCTGTTCCAGCTGATGGTGGCATTGGTGAGCTCTGAGTCTTATTTGTCCCCTCGCTGGGAAGGGGAAGGAGAGAGTTGGCAAAGCAGAGCAGAAGCTTCTAGTTGAATTAAGATGCCGGCGGTAGAGGCTGACAGTGTATTCTCAAGCCTGAAGGGTTCCCATTGGGTAACCAGTGGCTCTCAACCTCTTCCCAGGGTTTCCCAAGCTGAATGGGCTGAGAGCCACAAGATTCAAAGAATGACTCCCATTCTCAGGTGGAGACAAGGCCCGCTCCCCCTCCCTAGCCCTGTCTCACTCCTTCACAGCGCTGTGAAGCCATGAGGACAGGAATGCGTTGATCTGGATCTTTGGGGACCCCTTCCCACCTGCCTGCTAGCTAGAACTGGCCAAGGACAAAATGAAGAGGCGAGCTAGCACATGAGCAAATGAGCACAGATGAACAGAACTGCAAAAGGCGGCTTTATAGATACAGATAATTTGCCTCGGAGAGAGGGAAGGCTGTTCCTGTTTCTCTTTCTTCTTTCTTTTTGGGAGAGGGAGGGGGAGGGAATAGAGAGACAGACACACCCAAGGGAAAGAGGCATCCATCGGCTGCCTCCTGCACGCTCCCTACTGGGGATCGACCCTGCAACCAGGGCAATTGCCCTGCCCAGGAATCGAATAGGGGACCTCTTGGTTCAACCGCTGAGCCACATTGGCTGGGCAAGATGGAAGGCTGTGTGTGGCATTAGATTCTGCTTGCTGTTGTTGGTGTGCGTAGTTTAACGAAATCCATGTAAGTAGGTCATGGCGAGAATCGTGTGGAGGTTGGCAAGAAGGGTTTGCCATGCCATTCTAAGGGCTGGCAGAAACAGCAAACAGAAAATCCGTTTCTTAAGTCTCTTACGTAATGACGAGCAATTGCAAACGCCTGTTCTCATGGGAAACCATCGGCACAGGAGAACCCAGGTACTTCAGGTTTCTTTGCCCAGGGTCAGGCGATCGTTCGCTCCTGTCCTCTTCCTGGCCTGGGCCTTCAGAGTCTGCAGTCCGGGTTCCCAAACTCAGCGACTCCGTTTCCCCGTCTGCAAAAACAGGGAAGTAGCAGTCCCGATTTCATAGCCTGTTGTGGCGAGGCAGTGAGTTGAGCGTGTGTCTGAAGGCCCAGCTCAGAGTGAGCGCTCCATAAATATTAGCCTTATCACTGTTGGTTGATTTGTTGTTGTTTTTTCTACACAGATGTATGTGTTGTGCAAGTACTACCTGCCATCCGCCAGTTCTAGCTCTGAGGGTCAGTCATGGCAACAAAGTCCCAGCTAGAGTCTCCCCCAGAGTGGAGGAGATTGAGAATTGGGAGGGATGGAGGGAAAGACAGCAATATGCAAACGAAATGATTCCCAGAGTGGCAAGTGCTGTGGGGAAGGGAGACAGAACTTGTTGATGGGGTTCCCCAATCCCCCAAGGGTGACAGAAGGCAGGGCGCCTGTGAATTTAGATGGGGTAAAAGTCACCCCACTTTCCCTAACCTCTAATGAAAATATACTATTTCTTCCCATTCTATATAAATGAGGGTGATAATCCAGTGCCGTGACAGCAGAGCGGTGACCTGGTCACCAGAGGGATGGCATATTTTCTGAGCAGGTTACAGCAGTGGCAGATTCTGTGAAAGCGCCCACGTGTACCCCATTCCTTTGAGATGATGACAGTAGAAGACCAGCCCCCAGATCTCGCTATTTAGTGCGCTAACAAGGAAGCCCACGTAGTATGTCATCACATGTTCACTTCAGTATTTGGATGATTATATTAAAACTAGTGACCTGGTGCATGGATTCCTGCACTTTGAAAGAAAATTAACTGGAAGGTGGCCAGTGGGTAGGACCAGGCAATATTGGGCCAGACACGCCCTGGAACCAACTTTCCATGGTCCCTCCCCTGCCGGCTGCACCTGGGGTGGCGCCATGGCTGGAAGAGCATCTGCAGAGTGAGCAAGGTCCCTCCGGCAGGTGGGTCCCTCGGCCTGGCCTGCGGGGATCGGGCTGAAACTGGCTCTCTGACATCCCCTGAGGGTCCCAGAGTGTGAAAGGGCACTCTGCAAAGTTGCTGTCTACAAGGTGTGGAACGTAAATGTAAGTGTGCAGCAAACCAGATTCGGGCCAACAGTGCTGCAGCAACAACATAATCCCACTGCTAAAGGTGGAATCGTGTGGCCCCTCAAGGAATCGGGCTCCCTCCTCTTTGGTTTCAGGGTGTATCACCTGAGAACCACTGCTGCCAACTCACTGCAGCTCAGCAGCTCCTGCACTGAGTGTCTGCCCCCTGGTGGTTAGTGTGCATCATAGCCACCAGTCAGAGGCTCAGACAATTAGCATATTAGCCTTTTATCTATATCTCTATCTCATCTCTATCTCTATCTCTATCTCTATCTCTATCTCTATCTCTATCTCTATATCATCTATCTATATTATCTATCTCTATCTCTATCTCTATCTCTATCTCTATCTCTATCTATCTCTATCTCTATCTCTATCTCTATCTCTATATCTATATCATATATCTATATCTATATCTATAACTATATCTATATCTATATCTATATCTATATCTATATCTATATCTATATCTATATCTATATCTATATCTATATCTATATCTATATCATCATCTATCTATATCTATATCTATATCTATATCTATGTCTATGTCTATGTCTATGTCTATGTCTATGTCTATGTCTATGTCTATGTCTATGTCTATGTCTATATCTATATCTATATCTATATCTATATCTATGTCTATGTCTATGTCTATGTCTATGTCTATATCTATATCTATATCTATATCTATATCTATATCTATATCTATATCTATGTAGATAGATAGATAGATAAACTGCCTTTCTTTGCCACCCATCTATGTATTCAAAAACATTCTGCTACGAGGTCACAGGCATCACTACCAGCCCAGAGGCCTTGGCACTGGAAAGGTTAGGAACCCTGGAAAGACAATGCCCAGGGGCAGACCCCACTTTGTTTTTATTTTTATGATGCAAACTTTCAGACATACAGCAACAGTGGAAAGAATCCCCACATCCCCACTCCACAGCTTGAGTGACCCTGGCCCATCCCGCTTCATCCGTGTCCCCAACCTGTCCCTCATTCCCATTTACTTATGAAGCAGGTCCTGGATGTTATATTTTTTGTTTTTTTTTTATTGATTTCAATGAGAAGGAAGAGAAAGAGAGAGAGAGAAAGAGAGAGAGAGAAAGAGAGAAAGAAAGAGAGAGAGAGAGAGAAACATCAATGATGAGAGAATCATTGATCAGCTGCCTCCTGCATGCCCCACACTGGGGATCAAGCCTGCAACCCTGGCATGTGCCCTGACCGGGAATCGAACTGTGACCTTTAGGTTCATAGGTGGACGCTCAGCCACTGAGCCACGCAGGGCTGGCTGAATATTGTATTATTTTATCCAAAACTATTTCCATAGGTATCTCTAAAAGATAAAAACTCTATCCTCCCCTTTTAGAAAAACCACCACAATGCAGACATTATATCTTAAAAATAGCAATAACGCCTGGGAGGGCCAGGTTGGCTGGGGAAGGGGTCCAGTGGTGGGGAGGAGGGGGGAGGGCCTCTGGAAGGAATGCCAGGTACAGGCAGAGCTGGAGCAGGGACCCTGTGGGGTGGGGCATCCCAGGTAAGGGGAACCTTCAGGAGTGGCCAGAGCCTGGTCTGTAGGGCTGGGTTGTGCAGGATCCAGGGATGGGAGATGTCTGAGCCCTCTGGTGCAGGGCCAGTACCGGCTGGGACCTTCTGTTTGGAGGATGGGGGCCGCCCTCTGCGGAGGGCATGTGTGACTGGGGGGGGGGGGGCGTGGCGCGGCGTGGGGGGGAGGGTAGGAGGGGTAGGGGGGTGGCAGGGGGGCGGATGGCAGGACTCCCAGGGACATGCCCAAATCCTTCCCACTGCATTTCCTCTTGTCTGGCCAACAGGGGATGATTCTTGAGAAACTGAGGATCTGTTCGATGCCCCAGTTCGTCCACTTCATGCACGACCTGCCCCCGTACAGCAAGGATCCGGATGTGGTGGTCACCGACCTCCGCTACGGGAGCGTCCCGGTGAAGCTGTACCAGCCCAGGAGGGCCGCCAGCAGCCTCCGGCCCGGCATCGTGCTCATACACGGCGGCGGGGTGATCCTCGGGAGCTTCAGTAAGAGCCCTCCCCTGAGACCCGGCCTGCGGGGTGACAGGCCGAGCGGTGTGGGCGGCGCCCACCTCCCGGCAGGAGGCTGCACTCCTGTCACCTTCTGGGGTCTGGATGCCGCTGTGATGACCTGGGAATACCCAGTTCATTCAGGCAGCAAAGATGCAGAAGGATCGGTCTCTTTTTGGAAGAGAGAGAGCAATCGATGCCTGTTCGGGTTCCCCCACTATGCGAAAGTAGGGCGTCCTGAGGATGGCCTTCCTAAGCGGGAATGATGCCAAGCAAGGAGGTAATTCTCTTAGGACCCAGCTTGCTGAGCTAAAGCGCAGACGCTCAGTTGTTAGCTCTGGGCTGGAGGCAGAGATGAGGTGTGTCCCCGTGGGAGGAGCTTGGCAGGGGCCACTCTCTCTTCTGGGTGGGGGGTGGGGTGAGGTGGTGCTGCCTCCATAAGGGCTCTCTGCGAAAAAGATGTTGTTGCTTTTCACCTTTTTTCCCCCCTCTTTTATATATTTTATTAATTTTTTACAGACAGGAAGGGAGAGGGAGAGTTAGAAACATCGATGAGAGAAACATCAATCAGCCGCCTCCTACACACACGCCACTGGGGATGTGCCCGCAACCTAGGTATATGCCTAGGGGACAATTTGCATATTGGTATTAGATAAGGTGCATAGGAGGCGACATAGAGATTCAGACTTGGGTCTGACTCCAGAGTTCCCACACAGAACCACTGTACTGATGGCCCAGCAGCTTCTCAGACATGGTCCATGAACATTCACGTGGTGGTGGTTCGTGGGCAGGGGCTGCCGATGATGGAAGCCCGCTAGCTTTCCTAGTGAAGTAAGAAAGCCTCTTCTTTTCCAGAAATGTACCACAAAATATGCTGTCGTTTGAGCAAGGAGAGCGACTCGGTGGTTTTAATGATCGGGTGAGTAAAGGGGAGGGTAGGAGGGCCAGGAAAACCAGGCTGGGACCCGAAGTGAGTGGGCGGGAGGTGGGGACTCAGCAGTGAGTCACGAGACACCGAGAGCAAGGACACCAGCCAGGAGGAGAGGAAGGAAGAGGGAGAGACAGAGAGGCAGAGGACAGGCCCTCCTTCCTGTGGGCAGCCCGTGGGCATGTTTCAATGGGGTGCTCTGGGCACGGCATCCTTTGGAAGCTGGGTGGGGGGTGGGCTGCCTTAAGCAGGTCAGATGCCAAGCTTCAGAGCACAGCACTTTGGGGTGGAATACTCCTGGTTGTGCAGAACAGCCCAGCACGCCTCTCCGCTAAATACCCACAGTGCTCTGCGCCATCACCAGGACAACCACAAACACCATCACATCGGTTCCAAGTGCTCTCCTGAGGGAGGGCCGCCCTGGCGAGATCCAGCAAAGGAAGGAAGGAAGAATTAAAAAGCTACTCTCTGTCCTAACTGACCTTGGACAGTCACCCACCCAACCTGGGAATAGGGCGAAGAGGGCTTGGTGGACATGGGGCAGGAGGCCCCTCCTTGGGCCTCCGTGTCAGGCAAACTGGTCACTGTCGTGGTGTGGCCTTGTCCTCCTGTGAACAGGGTCCCGCTGGGGCTGGGAGGGGCCCCTGATGGCGCCTCTCCTGCAGTTTTGTTGAAATGCACACACTGGGAAGAAATACCAATTGCCAAGATCTTGGTGGGGCTCCATTTCCCGTGGCACAGCTGGCTGAGTAGAGTAAAAAAATAATAGATGCCAGTCCGGGCTCAGGGAGAGAGGCCCGGATAGCACCTCACCTTACAGTTCTTGGCACCAAGACCGTTTCTGCGGGGAGAATGGAAACCTGGACCCAATGGTTGGCCTTCACATGTCGTACTGCACCAAGAGATGGTCAGTAAAATATGCCAGCAAATACCTGCAGGGACCCTATGTTGTGACCCCTGGGGAGACAGAGTTTGGGACTTAATGCATGGCCATCCCAGGCAGCTCAGAAGAGGGGGCATCAGAATGGACATGGCTGGCAGAAGCTTTGTGGATCCCCTAAAGCAGTGATTGGCAAACTCAGACAACATAGCCAAGTAACAACAGTACAACGATGGAAATTTCTTTTGAGAGCTGAATTTTTTTTTTAATTTATTTTTTTTTAGATTTTAAAATTTATTCTTAAAAATATAAAAGTTTATTAATTTTTTATATATATATTTTTAAATCAATCTTTATTGTTCATATTATTACAAAGGTTCCTCATTTCTTCCCCCCTCCACCAGGTTCCCACCCCACCCTCCGCCCCCTCCCCATCCCCCATTGTCCTCATCCATAGGTGCACAGTTTATGTTCAGTCTCTTCTTCCCTTCCTTTCCCTGGTAGTAAATCCCTTTTCAGATAGTAAATCAGTTACTTAGCATTTTCTCATATCAATAATACCTCCACATGCCCAATGATACACTTCACACAAAAGACATTTCCCAATAGGTCAACTAGCCTCATCCAGGCCCCACCCAAGGCACTCACAGATCAACACCCCAGCCCTATACTAACTCAACACATCCAGATCTAAGCCTTTATCACTTGATTCAGCAGACCCTCAAGTTCCCGCGAAAGTTTCCAGCCATGTCTGAGAGGCAGCCGTGGGGAAGGGGCAGGCGAGGAGCGAGCTGTTGCGGGCCTGGCTGCTCAGGGCCTGGCCTCTGTTGCTCTGGTTCGTTCCACAACAAGCTGCTCCGGGTCTGGTCACTGCCACTCCCGACCTAGTTGCTCTGGACTTGGCTGCTGCTGCTCTAGGCCTGGCCGCACCCGACCCGGCTGCTCCGGGCCTGGCCGCTCCCAGCCTGGCAGCCGCTGAGAGCTGAATTTTTTAAACTTAAACTATATAGGTAGGTAATTGTTATTAACTTAATTAGGGTACTCCTAAGCTGGCCTCTGCTAAAAACGCAAGGGGCCAAAGAGCCGCATGTGGCTCGCGAGCTGCAGCTTGCCGACCACTGCCATAAAGTATTGCCTAAGTTAGAGGCCAGCATTTAGAAGAGGGACATTTCTCTCCCAAACTTGATTTCTGGAACCTCTGGAAAAATGCTGGGCTGGTGAGCCCACGTGACAGCTGCCCCCGCATGAAGCCAGGGGCTTGAGTTGGGGTGACTGATCTGAAAGTGGTGCATACTAATATGTTATCTGCTGGCAAATTGGTAGCATCTGAGCCTTCAAGAAGCTAGGCCACAAAGACCTGTGAGCATGGCAGCGTTATTTACTATCTAAATCCAGGCCAGCCTGAGGTTGCTCATAAAAAAAACCCAAAAGAATCCAAAAAGTAGGGAACAGGTGTGAGCCGGGGCTGCACCAGCAGGTAGGTTCAGAAGGAGGGGGCTCCTGGGCTGGTGAGAGCTAAGTTGTGGACCGATAGGTGGATGGAAGGGTTCTTGAGGTCTTCACCTGTCCCCTAACTTGAACATGGAGAAGGTGGGACTAGCAGCTGCCACTTACAGAGCGCATGTGCTGGGGACTGAGGATTTTATGTCTATGAGCTCATGTAAGGCCCGTAGCTTAACTTTAACTGCTCAGGTTTCAGAAGGCGGCGTTATGGAAGAACTTGGTTGCTAGAGGCATGTGTTTTGGGCAATGCTGGGGTGATGAGTATAAACCATGTTCCTTGATTCCCTTTTAGATACCGCCTGGCGCCCAAGCACAGGTTCCCGTCGGCCATGAACGACTGCTTCGTGGCCACCACCCACTTCCTGAAGTCCCTAGATATGTATGGGGTGGATCCAGCCCGGGTCGTGGTCTGCGGTGACAGCGGGGGAGGGGGAGCGGCCGTGACAATTTGTCAAAAATTCATGGCTCGGCCAGATCTGCCCAAGATCCGGGCTCAGATTCTGGTCTACGCCACTCTCCAGATCGTGGATTACCAACTGCCTTCCTTCCAGCAGAACAAGAATGTCCCGATGCTCTCTCTGGACTTTGCCATACACTGTATCCATTATTACCTGGACATAAGCCTCCAGTGGAAGAGCGCCATCCTAAAGGGCGCCCATATGCCTGCCCAAGTCTGGGAAAAGTACGGAAAGTGGTTGAGCCTGGAAAACATCCCAGAGAGGTTTAAGCAGAGGAGCTACCCTCCGGTGACCCGTGCGCCCTTGAATGAGGATGCTTACATGGAGACAGACATCCTTCTGGATTTTCTGAACTCGCCCCTGCTTGCAGAAGACCAAGTTGTATCTCAGCTTCCAGAAGCCTGCATCGTGAGCTGCGAGTATGACCTTCTCCGGGACAATTCACTGCTGTATAAGAAGAGACTGGAGGATCTGGGTGTCCCGGTGACCTGGCACCACATGGAGGATGGTTTCCATGGGGCGCTGAACACCCTCGGCATGGGATTCTTTCAATTCCCCTGTGCCACGAGGATTCTGGGGGTCATGGTCCAGTTTGTGAAGGGGCTGTGAGAGTGTAGGTCCCGCCATCATCCAGTTCCTTATGGGTCTCTCTTGCTGATGAAGGAGATGCTGGATGGGGCCAGGGAAACTATTGAGATTGCCATCTTCTTCTTTAAAAATACAAAACGACAAAACCCACCCAGCCTGGCCAGTTGAGCTTTGATCTATGAACCAGAAGGTCATGGTTTGATTCTCAGTTGTGGGCTAGATCCCCAGTGTGGGGCATGCAGGGGGCAGGCGATCAATGATTCTCTCTCTTATCATTGATGTTTCTATCTCCATCTCCCTCTCCCTTCTTCTCTCTGAAATCAATAAAAAAAATTAAAAATAAATATATATCTTTTTAATCACAAAGTATATTTTTGTTTTATTTTATATTTTCATTAATCTTCACACACACACACACACACACACACACACACACACACACACACACACACCTGCCCCCTATTGATTTTTAGAGAGAATGGAAGGGAAGGGGAGAGGTAGAAACATCAATGTGAGACACACCAATTGGTTATCTCCCACACATGCCCTGACCAGGCTCGGGATCAAGCCTGCAACCAAGGTACATGCCCTTGACTAGAATTGAACCTGAGACCCTTGAGTCCTCGGGCTGACGCTCTAACCACTGAGTCAAACTGGCTATGGCACCATCTTCCCTCACATCAACACTTACTCTACTGGGTGGATATCAACACTCACCCTACTACAGAAGCTAAATTTAATCCTGAGTCAAGGTACATGGAAGTGGCAAGAGAGGATAAGGACTATGGGCAAGTTGACCACTTGCCCCTTAGGAATAGCAATTCCTTTAAAAGGACGACTCATATCTGGCCTTTGTGGCCAAGTGGTTGAGCACCAACCTATGAACCAAGAGGTCATGTTTGGATTCCCTGTCAGGGCACATGTCTGGGTTGTGGATTTGATCCCTAGTAGGTGGTGTGTAGGAGGCAGCAGATCAATGATATTCCTCTTATCATTGATGTTTCTATATGTCCCTTCCCCTTCCTCTCTGAAATCAATAAAAAAAAAAAAATTCTTAAAAAATGGCCTGGCTGGCATGGCTCAGTGGTTGAGCATCAATCTATGAGCCAAGAGGTCATGGTTCGATTCCTGGTCAGGACACATGCCTAGGTTGCAGGCTCGATCTGCACACAATGGCATGCAGGACTCAGCTATCAGTGATTCTCTCTCCTCATTGATGTTTTCATTTCTCCTTCTTCTTTCCTCTCTGAAATCAATAAAAATATATTTTAAAAAATTAATAAAAAAGGATGACCCAGGCTCCCATGCTGAGTCTTCAGGAGATTCTATTCCTGGTTGGCCAGTGGCTTTTATAGACCAAGACTCAAGTTTACAAACCCGCAAGCATTCCTTTAACTGGCTTCCAGTCGAATGTTTGTGCTGAAATATGGGACAGAGAAGAAACCACTGGGTGGCTTCACAGTAGGCAGACCCTCAGGTGGCTTTGTTGAAGAACTAGAAACCACTGGTTGAAAGAACATTGTTTGGTAGACATTCAGCTGTTGGGGAGCACTAGGATCTGAGACCCATGGTCCCTTTTGAGACAGACCTCTGAGTTGATTCTGGATGGCTTCCCTCCTGGAGTTTGGTCTTTGTTATTTCACTGCTGCCTCTGGAGGCAGGTGGAGAGACATGAGCTGACCTTCTGGAGCATTGGGTGGTTGGCTCTTCCACTGCGGGGGTGCCGAAGAGTGGGATGAGCCACTGGAGGATTGTGCCCAGTGGAGGTGAGTGGGCTATGCTTTAGGAACTGGGAGCACTGTTAGATGGACCTCCATCCCAACCTCCTGATAATAAGTGCTTGCAGCCCTGCTCTTGTCTCCTGCTCGCTCATAACCTGGGCTGAAGAACTGTTTCTCCTCTGGCTCATTGCACCCCTACCCCCTGTTTCGGGGATCTGCAAATAGTAAGTCTTGTGACTTCATTTCACCTCCTTTATATGAGTATCAAAACTGTACCTTTAGCCAAAACCGGTTTGGCTCAGTGGATAGAGCGTCTGCCTGCGGACTGAAAGGTCCCAGGTTCGATTCTGGTCAAGGGCATGTACATTGGTTGCGGACATATCCCCGGTAGGGGGTGTGCAGGAGGCAGCTGGTCGATGTTTCTCTCTCATCGATATTTCTAGCTCTCTATCTCTCTCCCTTCCTCTTTGTAAAAAAATCAATAAAAGTATATCTTAAAAAAATAAATAAAAATGTACCTTTAGTCAAAATGACCTTGGGATTTTCACTTCCTTAAGGTGGGAACTTGGATGCTGAGGGAGCTACCTGCAACCCTGTATGAGGTAGGGTTCCCGAGGGCTGGTGCCTCCTCATTCTGCAGGTCATAATCTGAATGAATTCCACAAAGTGAGTATCCTGAAGCCCATTTTACAGATGAGGAAATTGAGGCCCAGATACATTAGTAACAACAATCATTTCTTGTTTCATTCCAGTCAGGCTCAAGGCCAGCTGATTAACTAGTTTGTCCAAGGCCATGTGATGGCCAGCTGCTGTGCATTGCAACCCGATCTGTCTAACAATCACCTATACCTGCCGTGCCCCATGGCCCATTAGCCCTTTTCTTTCCCATCATTCACAATGATGACCACAGCCTTACCTGAGTCATTTCCCCCCCAAGTAGGTGTTCGCTGTTGTCTGAGTCAGGTCAACAGAGCCCAGTGTTTTGCCATCTGGTTTATTTTGTTAACTGGACTGTAGCTTTCTCTAAGTGTGAATGACTTTGGAATTGCTATCTGTAAGTGCCCAGCTAACACAGCTCAGGGGAGATGGACACCCATACACCTGTAAACCCAGACACCCTGGGAATGTTTTCTCGGTAAATACCAAGGACTTCCCTGTAAAGACCTGCCAGGTAGCCCAGGGAATGTGCCATCTGCTGAAAGACGATGAGTTGCATCCCAAATTGCTGTCTCTGGTCAGGAGCAGGCAATTTCAGACAAGGTCTGAGGGAAAAGTCGAAAAATTGGCAAAATTAGTCTCTTTCCCCCAGTGTCCTCCTCAAGTGTTCCTCACTCCCACCCAGGACCTCTCTGCCTTTTTGATTCCAAACCTTGTCTTCCTTCCCTCCCTACCCCCACCCCACACTCTCTGTTTCAGAATGACTACTTGAACTCTCTTCTTGTTCCTGAGCTAGTATAGACTAGTAGAGGTTAGGATCTGCTGCAATGACAAATGGCCCCACAGTCTTAGTGGCTTATGACAGCCAAAGACTATTTCTTGCTCACATTACTCATTACTCAGCCCTCACTGCTCAGGGGCAGCTCTGCTCCACGTGTGTCTGTTTGATCTGAGATCCAGGCTGATGGAGCAGCTTCTATTTGAAACATCATGGCAGAGGGAAAAAGAACCTGGTGGCTCTCAAAGCTGTGCTCAGAAGTAAGGCTCATGCCAAAACTGGTTTGGCTCAATGGATAGAGCGTCGGCTTGGGGACTAAAGGGTCCCGGGTTCGATTCAGGTCAAGGGCATGTACCTTGGTTGTGGGCATATCCCCAGTAGGGGGTGTGCAAGAGGCAGCTGATCGATGACTTTCTCTCATCGATGTTTCTAACTCTCTATCTCTCTCCCTTCCTCTCTGTACAAAATCAATAAAATATATTAAAAAAAAGAAGAAGTAAGGCTCATGGTTCCTGCTCACCTTTCATTGGCCAGAGCAAGTCACATGGCCAACCCTGACAGAGGGCAGTAGATATTTTTAGACAATATGACAGCTGCCGCACTTTGCATCATATTTTCACTTCTATTCTACATTTTAAAAATTTAATTTTAAATTACTTGAGTGATACATAAATATTTTTAAATAAAGCCTTCAAATGCTAGAAATAGGGCAAAGTCCTTTTTAATGACTCTCTTGCAACTCTAGTCCCGTTGATCTATTCCTTTTGAGGGAGGGGATACTAGGATCTGCCAACACTTCAAAGCCTGTTCTTATGCTTGTACATACTTAGGTATGTATGTATGTACCCAAAGAAAATACATAGAGTATTATTTTGCGGGATGACTGCCATACTTTGGTACATAAAGTAATAATAATTCTATATAAGTAGTGCCACTTGGGGTTTCCCCCTCAATATATCTTGGAAATCTAGCCTAGTAAACAGTAGAGATCTAGCTGCCTCCTTTTCAGCTACTGCATAATATTCCATGGTCTGGCCACATGACAGTTCTTAGCCATTTCCTTCTGGAGGACACATTTGGACTCTTTCCAGTTTTTTACAGACAAATAAGTCTGTAGTGAACATTTCTGCACACATACCGCCCTCTGCACGTGTGGTTTTATGTGATAGATTCAAGAAGGATTGGTGGCTGGGCATGTTCTATATATATTAGTTTATGGGCACATTGTGGAAGTTGATGGGCTCTCCCAAAATGCTTATCCTGTTCCCTTCCATCCAGCAGGTCTCAGCTTGGAGGGAAGTGTTGGATCATAATCACCAATTCCAAAAGCAGAAAGAAAATGGATTGTCTTGACAAATGGCATGTCCATATTTTAGAAGGGAAGTTCCTTAGCTCAAATGTAATGCTGCAAAAGTCAGTGAAGGAGTCAGATCAGGCTGCAGTCTTACTGGGTCATTGCCTCTAACATCCTCGCCTCCATCTATCAAATGTGGCTACTTCCTCCCCAAGGTGGCCAGGGCCTGCTCTGTTCCCTGGCCAGCCCATCACTATCCTAACACTGCCACTGGGTATCTTGCAAATTGTAGGACAAGGTTGAATATGATAGGGCAGAGCCTGAGGTTCAGTTTCAAAGCATTATTTAGTCATAGGCAAAACCCTTCAAGGGCCCATGTCCATCACCATGAAACAATTTCACGGAAGGACAGATGACTTTTAAGTTGACAAGACACATTTTGGGCTTGTTGCTGCTGTGTCACAAGGCTTTCCTCAGGAGGCAGAGGGATGAAGGAACTTGTGGTCTAGAGCCAAGTAGAGGCCCAAAGTTCACTTCATCTCCAAACCTCAGTTTTCTTTCCTTGAAATGG